GGTGACATTCTGGGGACAGCCATACCGTGGTGGTGACAGCCCCGTCCTGCTGCTGCCCGTCACGGAACCAGGCGATGCTGGCGGCGGGTTTGGCGCTGCGGGCGCGGCACGTCAGGTTGTAGGGGGTCCCCGCCCTCAGCAGGATCTCGGGGGCGCCGTCGATCGTGGGGTCCTCAGGGGGGACTGCGAGGGGACACGGGGGACACTGGCTCGAGGTGGGGGGGACACGCTGGTGGTGGCGGGTCCCCAAAAAATTGGGGTTTGTGGGTGGAAAATTGGGTGGAAAATGAGGGGACAGAGGGGGGACACAGAGGGGACACAGGGGGGACACCCAGTCTCCATCACAGGACACTGGGGACCATTGGGGACGTGGAGGGTGGGGAGGGGACACAGGACATGGTGGGGACACAGGGACTGGGGAGGGGACACGGGGTGCCCTGGAGGACAATGGGGAATTGGAGACATTGGGGACATCACTGGTGACACTGGGGACATTGGGGTTCACTGGGGACATTGGGGACATCATTGGGGACATTGGGGATGCTGGGGACATTGGGGGCCATAGGGGGCCATTGGGGTTCACTGGGGCCATCACAGGTGACAGTGGGGACAGTGGTGACAGTGGGGACAGTGGGGACGCCGGGGACAGGGCCAGCCCTCACTGAGCACGGTGAGCCTGGCGCGGCGCGAGCGCAGCGCGGCCTCGGTGGCCTGGCACTCGTAGACGGCGTCGTCGGAGAGCTCGGCCTGGCTGATCTCCAGATTGTACTGGCCCGAGTCGGCCGTGCCCACGATGCGGTACCGGGGCCACGCTGGGGACAGCAACGGGGTCACAGGGACACCCCAAACATCCCAAACACCCCAATCCCACAGGGACACCCCAAACATCCCAAACATCCCAAACACCCCAAACATCCCAACCCCACTGTGCCCACGATGCGGTACCGGGGCCACGCTGGGGACAGGAACGGGGTCACCCCAATGTCACAGGGACACCCCAAATATCCCAAACATCCCAAATATCCCCAACCCCACAGGGACATCCCAATCTCCCCATGCCCATGAGAGTCACCCAATGTCACCCAATGTCACCCAGTGTCCCCTGGGCACCTTTGAGGCCCAGTCCCATGGGTGTCCCCCAGTGTCCCCCAATGTCACCCAGTGTCCCCAGCACCTTTGAGGCCCTGTCCCATGGGTGTCCCCCAGTGTCCCCCAGTGTCCCCAGCACCTTTGAGGCCCAGTCCCATGGGTGTCCCCCAGTGTCCCCCAGTGTCCCCAGTGTCCCCAGCACCTTTGAGGCCCTGTCCCATGGGTGTCCCATGGGTGTCCCCAGTGTCCCCAGCACCTTTGAGGCCCTGTCCCAT